TTAAATGGTTCAAGGATTTAAATTCTTAAATACTTCTCGCTTTACGGTGAAAAAAAAAATTATTCAAGATTTTAATAAAGCCACAAAGTTTAGGGACGATAAAAAAAAATTTGTAAATTATACAAAATGAAAATGAGTATCAATAAAATTTTAATTTTCTAAGCGAAATCTTAATTTTCATCTTTTTCTTCTTCTTTCTTGAATTCTCGTAAAGATTTTCCACTTTTATATTAAAAATTAAAATCATTTTCAAATTAAAAGATGTAATTAATGTTTCATTAAAAAGTTTTATAATTTCATAAAAAATATTCAATATTAAAATTTATTTAATAGCAGATTAATTTTATTTAACAGAAATATTTTTTGTTTAGTATTTAAAATATGTAGGATAAACAAATCAATATTTCCATTAGGATTATTCATAAAAGTGAAATTTCATTTATGTGATGAATATAATGTATTAAAAGAAAGAATACCTAAATAATAAAATTCGATTCAAAGAGACATTTTTAAATTATTATTTAAAATTGACAAATTATAAAAAAATGAAAAAAAACGTAATTAATTAGAAATTTTTTTAATTTATTAAATTTTTCATGCTCTTTTTTCGATTGTCTGCACATATTTTTAATTTAATTAACAAAAATAGAAATAAATACTTGTCCATTGGGTAAAATATATATGAAATATAAAATATATATGAAATATAAAATATATATGAAATATAATTTTAAGTAATTCTCTAAAAGTTTAATAATACAAAAGCATTTTTAGATTAATAATAGCAGGCTTATTCGTAATCGATAATTAATTTTCAAAAAATTGCAAAATGTGGCTTAAAGACTGAAAAAACTAGTGAAATGTATAGCTATCGAAAAATTAAATTTGACGCCTAAAAAAAATTCATTTTAGACAATTTACAAAAATTTGATTCTGTATTTTCCTGACTTTTCCCTGATTTCCATAAAAAATATTTACTTCTTTTCTTATCTAATTTCAATTTTTAATTTTTCAAAAAATTCAATTGTTTTTCAAATTTTTAGTTAGAATTTTTCAAAAATACATTAAAAACAATTTTTAAAAGTAAAAGAAAAAATTCTTTATAATTTTAAATTCATTTCAATAAAATTTGACAAAATTTCCAATTACTTGTAAATTTATTTTAATCTTTATAAATTATATGCAGGAATTTAACTATTTTCAACAAATTTTAGTTGCAATTTTTCAAAAGACTGAAATTGTTTTATAATTTCTAAATGAAACGATTCAAAACTTGAATAATTTTTTTAATAAATATTTTAATTAATAATTTCATAACTGTTGAAAATAAATATTTAAATATTATTAATTTAACAACAATTAAAATTATCAAAGACTTCAATTTAAAAATCTTCTGAAAAAATATTTTTTTTAATTTATACTAAAACGCTCCTAATATTCAATTATTATAAAATTTTAACTGAAATTGATTTTTAAATCCATTCTGGTAAGGAAGTTCTAAGAGAATTCAATTATTTAAATAGAAAATTAAATAATAGAATGAACAATTGATTATTACTTGAAATTCAATTCTTATAAACTATTTTACCAAAAAATGTGTAAATAACTGAATTTTTTCGAAGAATTTTATTATTTGTGAAAATAATTGAATTTTTGTGAAAAATTTAATTATTTATAAAAATTTGCACAAAAACGCGTCTGATATTCAATTATCAAAAATTTTAACTGAAATTCATTTTTAAATCCATTCTGGTAAAAAAGTTCTAAGAGAATTCAATTATTTAAATACAAAAATTGAATAATTGAATGTAGAATCATTAATTAAAATTCAATTTTTATAAACAATTTTATTAGAAATTTTATAAATAATTTAATTCTTTCGAAGAATTAAAAAAAAAATTTAATAATAATTGAATTTTTCGAGAAATTTATTTAAAAATGTTTTAAAAATAATTGAAGTCCTTGGAAGAATTTTATTATTTGTGAAAATAATTGAATTCTTGTAAAGAATTTTATTAAAATTTTTTCAAGGAGTTTCTTTGCAATTGTATTCAAACTATACGAATTCTTATAAACAAATTTAATTAAAATCATTAAAAATAATTGACTTCTTTCGGAGAATTTTATAAAGATTCTTTCAAATAATTAATTTCTTTCAAAAAAAAATTTACGAAAAATGTAAGTATTTTAAATAATTGAATTTCTGTAAAAATTTTATTATTTATGAAAATAATTGAATTATTGGGGATAATTTTATTTAATTCTTTTTTTTATAAATAATTGAATATTGTGAAATCTTATTAAAATAGTATAGATATTGAAAATTATTGAACTCTCGGGGAAAATTTTTCTTCAAATTTTTGAAAATAATTAAATTGTTTCAAAGAATTTTATTAACATTCTTGAAAATAATTTTTTATTTCAATTATTAGGGGATTTAAGTTGGTGTCAATTTTTGAAAAGAAGGAAAAAGTATCTTTTAGTGTCACAAATCTAAAGAAAAAGTATCCAAACCGTAGCTAGTAAATAGTAGAATTTAGTAGATGAGTGCGAGCCCTAATTATTTAATATTGATTTCTAAATTATAAACATTATTACAAAATTATAACAATTTATTATTATTATTATTATTATTATTATTATCATACCGATTTTTATTGTAATAAAATTATAATTGACAATTTTTATTATTGCACCTATACAATAATTAATTATAATTAATTTTATTTATAATTTTTTTTTAGTAATTAATTTTACCTATAGGTAAAATTAATTACTGTAGTTCATATTTAAGTTATAAATTATATTTACTTTTTATTTATTATATTATATAAAATAATAATAATAATAATATTTTTTTATTTTTATTATAATTGTTTAAATATTTTATACTAACAATATTTATTTTCGTCTGTTTTGCTTCTGTTTGCATAAATTTTCAGGTTCTTGGATGTTTTCAGGTTAAAAAAAGTGGGAGAAGTGTTTTTTGTAATGATGCTTCTACAATAGTAAACAATTAATTAAATTGTGAAAGTATATTATGAAAGCGGCGAATTGAAACAAATATTGAAATAGAGACAGTGATAATATTTTTTGAAATTTAAGATTATACTATCATTATAATTGGCAATATTATAATTTAGTTAAAATATTGATTCACATTTCATTTTATCAAAACACAGTTGTAATGAGCAGTATTCTAATTAATATTCATTGTTTGGAATTGAAATATTTCAATATCAATCTGAATATTAAATAATTCAATATCAATCAGAAATGGTATATATGTACATATTTTGAAATTAACGAATTCTATTAATAAAATATGATAGAGAAAAAAATAGAGAATCAATTTTAAATTAATTGAAATTTCACGAGAAATGGAATATTATATATGAATTTTAAATAATACGGGATACAATTATAATTAGGGGGCGAATATTGTTGGCGGTAGATAATAATTTTTCTCAAAAGCACTTATATAAAATATAATTAAAATTTTATTTGTTTTTTATTTAATATTTTTTTAAGGTAAAATGAGAATCTGCCATTTTGAATAAAATGGAAGATTGAAAATAAAATGTTTCAAAAAAATTAAGTTTTTTAATTGTTTCCTGGGGTTATTTTATTTTTTTTTTATTCTCATAGGTATGTAACTTTTTACGCATGAAATAAATATATGAAGAGTTTATGAGGAAAAGTAATCTTCAGAGACCTACTTTTCTCGCGCAATTTTTCATAGAGCTATTTACATGCCAAGAAAGATAAACGAGACTTTATCTCCAAGTGACTTGTATTATCGTTATTGTCAAATTTTTCAAATGTCTCCGATGTAAGAAACTCGCGAATATCAATTTTTATTAAAAAATATATATATATATGTGTGAGACCTTTTGCACTTTAAAATTCTTTTCAAAAGAATCGAAGGAAAAATCACTGGCTCTCATTTTTCGTGTCACATTTCTTCATTGTTCGATAAAATAGAAGTTCATTTTTTCCTTTCCTTCAATATTTTCTTTCATTGAGTGAAAAAATTCATTACTTCTAAAATTAAATATCCAATAAAATGAAAATAGAAAGCAAAAGAACAATAAATTGAAAAACAATTAAAAAAAATAAATAAATAAAATAATGTAGGTAAATCAATTAACAAAAATATTTTTTCTCTACTATGGAAAAAAGTTTAATTACGATTAAAAATGCAATTTTCAATTTTGTAGGGAAATTAATGAAAAAATTGTTTTATCATCATTATTTTGAAAATATGTACATGAAAGAAATAACTGTTAATTTATAAAGTGGTTCGAAATTAATTTATTACGTTTTACATTAAAAAATGATGCAAATATTTTTTAATTAAAAAGCGTAACTTGTTTGTAAAACATTCTCATATGCATTGGACTTGCAAAATATTTTCATTGCGAGGAATCACGTAAATTTTATCTCATTAAAAAAAATTAATGGCGCACACATACACACATTTCCACTGTTTAAATTTCAACGAATGTTAGTTGAGTGATATTTGAAAAAATCAACACTAAACACATTAATGTATATAAATTATATACATTAATGTATACAATTATATACATAGATAACAAAGTACAAAAAAATGTAGTAAACTGAAATTCACATTTTAAGAATTTAAAAAAAAACTTATAAACAATGTAATTATTTATTATTAAAATTAATAATTATTGTAATTAACTTTTATAAAAATTTAAAAAAAAATTAACTTTTATGGTAATTAATTATTATTATTATTGTAATTTGTTATTGTAATTGTTTATTTATTTATTATCTATTAAATTAAAATAAACAATAAAGTAATATAATAATTATTCCCTATATCGTTTTTCGATTTATTTATTGAAACAGAATTGTTTTAATTACTGATTTTTGTAATCATAGTGATTATTATAATTATTTAATTTATTTTTTTATAATTGTTTACTGTTGTAATTATTAATTTTACGAATATTTATTATAAAATGACTAACTTGATTCATGTAAGATCTGACGAATTCCATGCTTTGATCGAGAGCATGTGTGTCACTACTGCAAGAATCCAGGATCAAGGCACCCAGGGTGGTATTGGGGAGGAGTTCGTTGTCACTGTTAATTAGATCCAACGCATACAACATTGCTTCCAATCGTTGAACACCTTTTTCCTCTTTCACAGCGCCACATGGTGATTCAACATTGACATTGGTTACCTGTAAAAAAAAGCAAACACAAAAATTCATCAAAAATTTAACTAAATGTTCACTAAATTTTTTATTTTTCTACATAATTTAATTAACTATTCTACTAAATTTACATTAGAACTAGAACAGAATTGCCTTTTTGTATTTTGACCTTTTTCTCATTCAAATTTAATTCATTATTATTAATAATTTTTTTTATATTTATACTTTAATTATAATTTTCAATTATTTCTATTATTGATTTTAAAAGGAAATTGAAATTGTATAGAATTATTTTAATTCCAATATTAGTATGTGAAATTTTTTATTTCATTTAATTTAATTAAATATTAAATAATTTTTTAATTAATTTATTATTATTATTATTTATTTATTTATTATTTATTTTTATTTATTTTTTTCATTCATTTTTTATAATTTATTTAATTTTTTATTAAATTTTTAATTTATTTATTTCTTATAATAATTTTGAAAATATAATATAAAAATTTACAAAAAAAACTTAATTTTCTAGTATCTTTTTTCTATTTTCTATTTACAATTTTTTCGTTACTTTACGTTTTCTTTATTTTCCATTTTATTATTTGTTCTTTATTTTCTTACATTGTATTCGAATTAACAATTTTTGTCTCATTTTTTATTCTGGTATTGTTTCAACATTTAGAATAAAATAATTATTCAGTTTCAAAAGAAACGAAGATTTCACTTTAAAAGACACTTTAAATGTATTTTATTCTTTAAAGACGTTTCATAATTACAAAGTTTCTTACTTTAAAAGCTTAAATTCGTGATTTCCATAACTCTTGATTATTTAAAATGTTAATTTCTTTTCAAATAAGTATATCACTTAAAAGAGTTCACTTCGGTACTTGAAGTTTAACAATTTATTTTTTCCATTAATATAACGGATTATTAATTTTATCTGAGAAAAACATTTTTTTTACTGAAATTATTAAATTTTGAATTAAATTTTCTCTACTCCAAGTTCCCTTCTTCAAATTTACAACGATTTGAAATTTAAATTGTTTAAAAAAAATTTTTAATAAAATTGTATGTAAACATTAAATTATTTTTATAAATAATAAAAACAATACTTTTATATGTTGTTCTATTTAAAAAGAGGTTTGATTTTGAAATTTTTGAATATTTTAATTCCTGTAGAAAAATAATAATAATCAAATATTTTTTTTAGAAATAAAGTTTTTGATGTTTTCAAATAATTTTACAATGAAAGAAATTCGTAAATAAATGTAACAGAACCTTTTTTTTAAATAAAAAATTTTCCCTTTATTTTCTAAAAATACAAAAATTTTCAATTTCACTTTCAAAGAAAATTTGTAATTGACAAATAGAATTTATAAACATTTTTTTCTTTTATTCTTAAAAAACTTTGAATATGAAATGTTTTTTATTCCCAAGCAGAAAAGAATGAGTTTGAGAACAAATTTTTTATTGAGAACTAAAAATTATGCATAAAATGGGTATATTTCCTTTTTCTTAATCATAATTTTTAAAAAATTAACAATTTTTATTTAATATTTTTAAATAAAAAAGAGAAAAATTTTTATAATTCAGATCAGTCAAACGAAAGTTGTTATAGAAAAAAGCATATAATAAACAAAATTTATTTCTTAATCATAATTTCTATAATATTTTCTAATTTTCTAATTTAAAATATTATTTCGTAGAATTTTCTAATAAAAATTTACTTAAAACTGAATTTTAGTTAAAATTTTAAAAAATAATTGAATATTAGAAGCATTATTGAGTGAATTTTTAAAAAGAATTGAATTTTGTAAAGGTTGCAATTTAAAATATTTGAAAAGCTGAAATTTTTATACTTTTTACAAACAATTTTGTAGAATTAATTTTTTTTTTAAAAGTTTAATTAAATTTTTTTTTTCTTGAAATTATTTAAAGTTTTTATTTTCTAAAATATATTTAATTGAAAAATTTTCAAACAATGAAAAATTCGTAAAATTGGGAAAATTTTAATTATTTAAAAAAATTTTCCTCAATTCAATGATTCAATATTTATTTCAATATCTATTATTTTAATAAAATTTTCCAAAAAAAATTCAATTATTTAAAAAAAAATTTAATAAAATTCTATGCAAACATTTAATTATTTTCATAAATAATAAAAATTTCACAGAAATTCAATTACATGTAAATTATTTATAAATTTCTTCGCAATAATTCAATTTGCTTCGCAAATTATAAAATTCTTTTTTGGTGTTTAATTATTTTCATAAATAATAAAACTCATCGCAGAAATTCAATTTTTTTTATGTAATTTTAATTGAATTCCTAGAAAATTGTAAAAATTATTCTTCAAAATTGTAATAAAATTCGTCAAAAGAATTTAAAAAGAATTTAAATTTAAAAATTTCTTGTAGTTGAATAATTGAATTCTCATAGAATTTTCTAATAAAAATTAATTTTAGTAAAATTTTTTGTTCAAATTTTAGATAATAATTGAATCCTAAAAGCATTATAGCATTAATTTTTAGAAATAATTGAATTTTGAAAAGTTTTTAAATTATAATCTTTGAAAATCTGAATTTTTCATAATTTTAAATAACAATTCTGTAGAATTAATGTTTTTGAAAAGTTTGCTTCAATTTTTTTTTAATTATTTGAACTTTTTATTTGCTACCTATAATTTGTTTTTAGATTTATCTATTTATTTATTTTCCATCTATAATTGATTCATTTGAAAATTTATTTTTTCTACCATATATAGTTAAAAATTGATTAGTGTTTAAATATTTTGAAATATTACTTAAATGTTATTTAATAAACCTGCTCAGAATACATTTTATTTTTATTTTTACACTATTGATAATATTAATCTTTAAAACTTGACTTTTTTAAACTTATTATTTAACCTCCAAACTAAACATTTAAAAATTGTTTATTTTAAAATTAAAAAAAAATCTAAGTACAAATATCCAGAAAATAATTATTTTTAATCTTTATTAAAGAAATCTACTTTGGGAAACTTTTTGAAAAATTAATTTTTTTAAAAAAAAGCATTAGCCTTATTTTACATTCTAGCCATATTATATAAAAAAATATTAATATTGACCGAAGTTATGACAATTTTTAAAAATTCGAAAATTCAAACTTTTTAATTTTTTGATATATGTATTGTAATTAATTTCACTTAAACTTGGTACAGGGTTAATATTAGTGTTTATTAATGTTTTATCATTAGAATAGTAAAATTGCAAATTACAAATTCAAAATGTTAGACTTAAATATTTAAAGCTCAAAAAATCTAAAAATCAATAATTGAAATTTTTTGAAAATTCAACATGGTGGACGATATGTTTAAAAATTTTAAATTAAAATTAATGCAATTTTTATGAAATTTGTTAAATTTGCTAAATTACGAATCAGAAGTTAGATTTTAAAAATTCAAAATGGCGGATCCAATATGGTGGAAGATATGTGTAAAATTAATGTAATTTTAATGAAATTTGTGTTTCTGGGTTTTTTAAGGGTCGACAATTAATTTTTCGCCAAATAAAAAATATATTACATAGTAAATTTTACTCAAGTTTTAAGGAATGTAAAGAAAAAAGTTGAAATGCAATGGCAAATATTTTTTAAAAATGAAAATGCTTTTAATTTACATTCGTGAAAGGAAAAATTGGAATAATTTCACTTTTCAAAGTTTAACGTGCGTCAAAAAAAAAAAAAAAAATGAGATTTCAATGAGGTTAAAAAGTCAGTGGAAAGTTTTCACCAAGTTGAAGTTCAGTGGACAGCGAAGTAACCACTTCTGACTCACTAGAGTCACTAGTAAACCGAGTTGAATGCTGAATGTATACATATATATATATGTAGTATAGTGTGGCAAACATACTCATAAATCCTGTGACAACGCGATAGCTCGACTATTGTAATGCTTGCAATGCTGAGATACGTTCACTCCTCTTGCGCTTCTATATTTATATATATGTATATGTATATATATGACTACTAGACCGAAACTCCCTTTCGTTGCTTTAACGTTAAAACTAGTCAACGCCTCACACATTCCCCTCACGAGCGCTTCGATGGAAAGGAAAGTTTTTAATTAAAATACACGTTTTTGCTGACAGGCAATTTTACTACCTTGACAGTTGAAAAAAAAAAATATTTTAATTCCATATATGTGTATCAAGCTAATAGATAATTCAAAAATATAATCTCTCGAGAAACAACTGTCTGGGTATTATTAGTTTCATAAATTTTAATCAATTTTGATATAAGATTTAATTAATTTCAATTAAACTTTACAAATTTATATCGAATTTTAATAAATTTTGATCAAGTTCAATTTACAGAAAATAAAAATTAAAAAGTGTTATTTTAACACTGAATTTGGGGTTAAAATAACATGCAACAAATTTTACCCTCGTAGGTGGCGACACTTTCTATTTTTTTTAACATTGGATAATTTTAAACGCAACAAAAATCACACCAAGTTTTTTCTGTGATTTAATTGGAATAAGTTTTAACGAATTTTAATTTTTATAAATTTTAATAAATTCTAATAAATTTCAATTAACTTTATGAAAAACCTAATAAAATTTTACAAATTTTAATGAACTTTATTGAAGCTTAACAAAATTTTATAAATTATAATGAAGTTTAAAAAATCTTACCAAATTTAAAAAAATTTTAATAAGTTTTACTAAATTTTAATAAGTTTTGGTAAAATAATAAATTTTCATTAAACTTATCCAAATTTTAATAAATTTTAATAAATTTAATAAATTTTAATAAACTTAAATAGTTTTAGCTAATATAAACAAATTTCAATAATCTTTAATGAACTTTAATAAATCTTAACATGTTTTTACAAAATTTTAATGAATTTTACTCTCTAATTTGAATTATTAAAAATGTTTACTAATTGAAATTAGTAACTGAATTTTTTTTTGAATTAGTGAATTTTACTATTAAATTAGTAGAAATTACTACTTTTTAGTAAAATTTAATTCAAATGCAAAATATCAGTTACTAATTAAAATTAGTAAACATGTTTACTAATTCAAATATAGAGAGTAATAAATTTTATTAGATAAATATTAACTAATTTCAATAAATTTTAACAAACTTCAATAAATCTGTATAATTTTTTATAAATCTTGACAAATTCTAACAAATTTTAACAAATTTTATTAAATTTTTATACAATTTTACAAATCTTAATAAATTCAAATAAACTTTAGTAAATTTAGTAAATTTTCAATAAATCTTAACAAGTTCTAAAAAATTTCAAATAACATTAATAATATTAATATTAATTTTAATTTAAAAAAAAAATTTAAGAAACTTTTTTTGGAATTAAACATTTACTTTAGGAGAAAGATGAAAAATAATTAAACTGTGCTTAAAAGTTAATAGTGAATGATTAAAATAAAAATTTTTAAAATTGGAAAGAAATATTTATAAATTTGATCTAAGTGAATAAAGAACAAACCTGATGTTCGTGCATAGGAAATATTCCTCCAAAAATAACGTCGCCGACGATTCGAATTAATTTTGAACCATCTTCGTCACTGTTATTTCTATGTAATTGGGTGCACTCAACGAGCACGAGGAAGCACCACATCGGTAGAATCCTCTGTAGGCTCATTTTGAGCACCTCACGAACGGAAACCAAGGATCCCGATGACCAACCACCGGGACCCCGCTGAAAATAGAGAAAAAAAACACGTTTAGTTCATTGATTTTCTTATGGGCGACAATAAAATTTATACATAATTGAAATAACAAAAAAATTAATTGCAAAATTATTTGTAAATTAATTAGAAAAAGGTTTAGATGAATTTAATTCGATTATATTTCAAAATCCAATTGATTTTATTGGATTTTATTCGATTGGATTCATTTGAATGAGATTTATTTAGATTAGACTTGATTAAATAGTATTCCATTGAATTCAATTGTTTTGTGTTTGATCTTTCATTGTATTCGATTGAAATTACAACCGTTCAAGAAGAACTGTGATCGATTGAATTTTATTGAAATGCATTAAATTAAAAATCCTTGGATTCAGTTATATTGGATATGATTTGTTTGAATTCCAAAGAATTCAATTCGATAGGATCCCATTAAAAAGTATTGAATTTAATTGAGTTAAATCGAATCGAATTGAATTGAATTGAATTGAATTGAATTGAGTTGAATTGAATTGAATTGAATTGAATTGAATTGAATTGAATTGAATTGAATTGAATTGAATTGAATTGAATTGAATTGAATTAAATTGAATTGAATTGAATTGAATTGAATTGAATTGAATTGAATTGAATTCAAGTGGATTGAATCAACTATTAACTATTTATCCATAATTAAAAAAAAAATTTCAAAAAGTTCTAAAACGTTAAACTTAAATGTTAAACAAATCGGAATTTGTAATAGAAATAAAAAATAAATAAGCATTGAGAAATATGCATTTTTTGTCAGACAAAATATAATCTTTTATGCACAATAAGCTCGAGTGCCTGACAATATTTACATTTTAAGTAGAAGAAATTTTGTAGTGTCAGACAAATTGACTTTTTCAAGTATAGAAAAAAAGTTGTCGAGCAAGACAAAGTGCAATATTCAAGTAGAGCAAACTTGTTATGTCAGACAAACGTCAGTATTTTAAGTAGGAAAAAATGCGTTAGGTCAGTCTTAAGACAAAATAATATTTATCAAAAAATAAATGAAAAAAAAGTAGAAGAAGAGAATAGTATTAATTATAATATTATATTAATATTATATTAATAATATTATATTAATATGTATTATTATATTAATAATATTAATATTAATAAATATTAACGTTAGAAAAAAATATAATTAAAATACAAACTTAATTTTAAATTTACCTACTAAAGAAAATTTTGCTCTATAGAACAAAACTATTTATAGCCTTAATTAAATACTGCTTAAGAGGGTGTCAAAGTCGATTCGATTTATTTCATTGAAGCTCTATGTAAAAATTACATCGACTTTGACATCCCCTTAAAGTAGAACAAACACAGTTTGGTCAGACAAATAAATCTTCAAGTATAAAGTAACTTTAAAGTACAAAAAAACATTTTATTCAAATAAGTTACTTTCAACAGGAAAACAAAATTTTTTTAAGAGAATTATTTACTAAGTAGAAAAAAATTTTATTTTCATTCAAATAAGTTACTTTCAACAGGATAACAAATTTTTTTTAAGAGAATTATTTACTAAGTAGAAAAAAAATTGTTTAGTCAGACCAGACAATTTTTAAGAAAAAATCAATTTTATTTGCTCTAAAATATTTTTTTCTAGTAACAAAATAATGTCACAAGAAAGAATACAAGCAATATTTTAAGTAGAAAACGAAATTTTTAACGCCGATGATTTTAAGTAGTACAAAACTATTTAGTCAGACAAGATAAAAAAAAGGAGAACATTTTTTATAGAAAGCATAAATATTTTAAGTAAAATATAAAAAATTTTAAGCCACATAAAAGTAATATTTAAGTAGATCAAAATGATTTAGTAAGAAAAAACAATTTTTGGAAAAAGAATACATTTTCTCATCGAAAAAATACTTTTAAGCATAACAAAATAATATTTAGTCACAAGAAATATTTTTTCATTAAAACAAAACGTTTTTGTGCAGATAAAATACTTTTAAGTAGTATAAAATTATTTTGTCAGACAAGTAAATTTTTATAATTACAACAAAGTTATTAAATCAGATAATTTTTTCTTTTTAGTTAAAAAAAGAGAAAATTGTTTCGTTAGGGACGTTGATGACAAATTATTGCCTTTCACAATTTTTTTTTTAATTACAAAAATTATTTAATCAGAGTGGTGAATAGTAAAAGTGAAATGTCAAGAAAAGAAACGTTCTAGTAGTAGAAAATCAGTTTAGTCAGACAAGTAAAATTTCAGTAGAGAGAACTTATTCTCTCGCGAAATTCATTTTCAAACAAATAAATTTTTCCATGTCAACTTTCAAGCACAAAAATAAAATACAGAAATTAATTTATAACGAAGGTAATTTGTGCCTTCAAATCAAAACATTTTTAAGCAGAAGCTTATTGTTTGTCATAGAATTCAATTTTATGTAGACAACTAATTTTCAACAATGAACAAAATTTTTGTCAAATTACTTTCTTTATTGCAAAAACGACGATTTAGATAAGTAACTTTTAGGTAAAATCCAGACTAGTTAGATGTATAGTTTTTCTAAAACGTATTTTCTAATTTTTTATTTTCTAAAAATTTTTGTAAAATTTACTTCGAAAGTAGCAAAATTTACGCAAAATATAGTAAAAATTACCAGAAATGCTTTACCGGAAATTTTTTACTATAAAAGTAGTAAAAGTTACTTTATATTTTTCTCCGTGTAATTTTCAAAATCTTTTTTTAACAATATTCAATTTTTGCGCGCGGCTAACTTTTTAGGATAAAATTAGAAATTTTAAAAATAATAGAATTTAAAAATTTGTAATTCAAATTTTTGTTGAAAACACTAAAAAAAATCCAATTTTGGAAAAATTACAAATAATTACAGAAATTTAATTATTTTCAAGGATGATAAAATTCTTCTCATATAAAATTCAATTATCTTTCAAATTTAAAAAAAATTCTCATCAAAATCCCAATTATCTTTATAAATAACAAAATTCTTCCCCCAAAGTTCAATTATTTTCATATCAATTTCAAATTCCCAAAAAAAGAACGCAAACATTTAATTATTTTCATAAAAAATAAAAATTCATCCGGAATTTAATTATTTACAAATTTTTTATAAACTCTTTCGCAATAATTCAATTATTTTTATAAATAAAATTTTTTTTTTTAAGGAATTCAATTATTTTCATAAAAAATAAATAAAAATTGTGGAAAATAATAATTGATTTGAAATGATGAACATAATTTTGAAAAAGTTACTGTACTATTATTCTTATAAATATATAAAACAATAATTTTATCACTCGGTCATCTTTAATTATTATAAAACATGAAGAAATCGATCACTCCGAGTCTTCGACTCGGAGCAATCGATATCTTCATGTTTTATAAAAATATTCTTATGAGTTATTGAATTTAAAAAGATTAGAATTTGAAATTGAAATTCTTAATTTCCGTGGAAAAATAATATTCATTAAATATTTATTTAAAAAAAAGTTATTAATGTTTTCGAATATATTTACAATTAAAGAAATTCGTAAATAAATGTAACAGAACATTTGTTTTGAGTAACATTTTTTCCTTTATTTTCTAAAAATTTAAAAAGTTTCATTTTCAATTAAAATTTGTAATTGACAAATTAAAATAGTTAAAAATCATTTTCTCTTTTTTTGACTTTTCGCTTCACGATTCTTATGATTTTATAGAATATTAAAATTTTGTCCTTTCATTATTTTTTCACTCAGAAGTTTTTCTTTTTCAAGACATTTTATGTAATTTTACCAAATCGATTGTTGAAAGTCAAAAAGAGATAGATTCTTTTTGCAGGATAAAAAAAATTTATAAATAAATTAATTTTGGAAATTTTAATATAAAAATTATGCAAATTATTATTTTTTTTTTACAAGAAAATACAAGTTGTGATAAAAAATAGTAATTTTATAACATTTTTTTCTTCTTTTTCAAAAAGAAACTTATAATTTTGTAAAATAAAATTGTGATTGAGAAACAAAAAATATGCAAAATAATTTTTATTTCTTAATCTTAGTTTTTTTTTAACAATTTTCTAACTTTCATCAAAATTATGGAATTTTACAAATTTTAGGAAAATAAATATTAGAAATCATAACTTCTTCGAAAAACTTTTTTTAAAAAACAAATTTCATTAGAAATCGATTTTTTAGATAAAAAGGATTAGAAAATAATTTTTAGAAAAAGTGACCACCAGACTATATTGGTCAGATAAATTACTTTCAAAAAATAGTTTCTTTGATTCCAGACAATATAAATTTCAAGTAGAAAAATTCATTTTCCTTTAGACAAGCAATATCGTTTTTAAGAAGTCAGACATGAGACACAGTAAAAGAATTTGTTGTGTTGACGACGAGACTTTAATAATAACTTTCATTGCTAAAAATAGTTGTTTTACGTACTCTCTATGAGTCATAAGTATATTACCTATGAGGAGACTATTCACAACATGCGTTTTATTCACCGCAATCTCAGTATATTCATTCTACTCTCCCATTCAGATATGTATCTTCAATATTCTGTTAAAATATGAAATCCATATTTGAGATTTGTGGAATTATGATTCTGTGAAGTGAGAAGTTTTATTATTCTATACATAACGAAACTAGAAAACTGCTGTCGTCTATGTCCTCGTAAATCGGAAGAATCCAGTTTACTACTCAACATAAGTAATAAAGAAAGCGAACTTTTACGATAGGCGATAGTAGTTTGACTTTATAACCCTCGTAACCTCACTAGGAAAAATTTCAAATCATCGCAAATTCTTATCTCCTTGGAAAAACTTTTTTTTTCACTCATTATAACATATTTATTTCAATTATTTCCCATTATCTGGTTTATTATAGGAAAAAATTTTTAATTAACAGGAATATTATTACACCATTCAGTGAATTCTCAATCAAGTGACAATGAGTAATACTTTTTCTTCTCTTTTTAAAATTTTTTTTCATCTTTTCTTTCCTTTTCTTATTGTCTATTTATTTTTCATTT